TTTTTTTCTAGAAATTTTGGTGGGGGGTGCTTTGCCCCCGGGCCCCCATAATTATTATCGAGGATTTCATATTATCATCCAAAGCAGCTTCAAAAATTATAGATCCAACCAAAACATTTTCAAAATTTATTGAAAAATACAAAAGTTACAGCAAAAAAAACATTTTTAATTCTCAACTTCAAGAGCTAATAACTACAGGGTGAGCCCGGAGGAAAAAATTTTATATGAACTTGTGACATTATTTTCTCATTATCTATCCATATCCGAGAGATTGCCCACCATTTCCGGGACACCCTGTATATTGTAAAAAATAAATTTTAACTGATATCAATAGTTTCAATAATAGACAATAGTTAGTCACTATTAGTGTAATAATTAATCATCAACCAAAATTTTATCCTAAGCTACGCTATATTAATTACGAACAAACCCCAAGGAAATTTATATACCAAAAATAAGGGTAAGATTTTTATTTCATTAGAAATAGATAATTTTATTTAGAAGAAAACATCTATATCTTCTTTCTGCCCAACTCTGTTTTCACATCATAACATCTCTATATCAAATAATTACATTTCAAGTGATATTTAAAAATAGCTTTTCATAGCTATTCTCACCTTACTTTTCCCAGTGTGTCTTTTGGAATCAGTTTTGTCAGTCTTTTTTGGTGGATTAAACATTCTCTTAGCCAATTCCCGTTCACTAACTTTTTGCTTTTCCAATATTTTTGCAACTGCATTTATTTCTTTTTGAATTTCAATATCATTTGGTGCTAATTCCTTAGCTTTTTGTAAACACCTCATTGCTGTTGGTAAATCATTTTTTCCCACATAAACCTAAAAATGGACAGCTAATGTTACAAAATAACAAACCATAACATATTAATTAAAATTTGAAAAAACAGTACTAATTTACCTTAGCTTTTCTAAAGTGTGCTTTTACGTTGTTCGGCTGACATCTTAGGACAATTTGTAGAGAGCTGAGTGCAGCATCAAACATTTCCATTTTTATTTGAGCAGCTGCCATATTGTTATAAACACTGATCCTGTCTTCTAGCAAACTTTGTAGGTCTGAATCAGTTACTTCAGTTGTTTTATTTTCTGGTAAAATTATGCCCCCTTCAACCTCGTCTAAGTAGTCTAAAGCTCGCCTGTAACACTGAATGGCTATGTTGTTATCTCCACGACTGTACCACCAATTCCCTCTTTCCCGTTTTTGATTACTAAAATTAAATACAAATTTTATTTAAACAAGATAATTCATATCTACTCAATGGTTTGAGTTGAGATTTAATTTCTTTTATATTAAATGCCATTTTATTCATATATATAAAATTTTAATTTAATCAGAGGATACTTAAAGACTAAATAATGAAAACACTTGAACATCTTTATAAAATTGACGTTAATTGACGGTAGCCGCACGGTTTAAAGCGTCAGTACTTAAATCGATGTGTGCTAATTCTGCCCAGGTTCGATTCCCGCGACTGGTAGACCGTAGATTAGCTATGCTTGTATGGAGGATTGGCACCCTCTGTGCAGGTATGGTAGTGTGGAAGGATGTTGGTTTGGCTCAATGTGAGAGATTGACACCGGTTGGCATTTAACCGCCCTCCTAATTAATGAGGTTTTCCAGGTTTCCCTCATTCCTGCACTGAATGGTGGTTAGGGCCTACCAACATAATATGCCGCCTCCTCTCCCGCACAAGTCTCCGACTTCTGGGCTAATTCTCGTGNAATTTATAAGGAATCTGTTGCCTTGTCTGGGTAATACCATTGTGTTAGTTTTACTTATGTTTGTATATATTTCTATTTTCTTATAGCGTTATATCGCACACTAATTTAGTGCATATGTTCGTGCATATTTGTTTGTATTTTTATGTATTTTAAATTTTCTGTAATTGGGTGTTTAACCTGTTGAAAATAAACGTATTATTATTATTATTATTATTATTATTATTATTAAAATAATGCCACAAAGGTATACAAAAATAATATATATTTACAAAATTATTTTCCATTGTGGTTTCGTTCTCTGTCACCATTAGTTTTATATAGTTGGTTTAGAAAGGTAACATTGATAAACTTCTACATACTGATTTAAATACTGTTCATAATAATTATTTTTTTAATAAAATCTTTATCCCTTCTGTAGGGCACGAAAATTTTGTGTGGATGATATATCCACCTTTACAGTTGCAAGGCAATAGACCTATTCAATAATTTATTAATATTTTTTAATTTACTGACAAATTTGTCACCCACCAGACAAAGTATCCTATGTGATAAAATTATATAAATGAGTTAAATATATGTATTCCTTAAACGATACCAGAGTATCGACAACTGAACAAAAAAAGTACCTAAGCTAATTAAAAATAATGTTCGTCCATTCACTCTAAATTTTGTTATTTGGCGTTCAATAAAAGCAGTTAAGACACTTTGTCAGGATGCTAAAGAATTAATTGGTAATGTGTGTAATAATAATTATTCCTTACCCAATACATTTTCTTTGCTCAACAGATAAATTTTCAATTTCATCCTCAGGTTCCACCAAGACTAATTCAACATCATAAATAACCACTGTATCGGGAAGAATTTTGGGTGGAAGTCCTTTACTCCCAAAGGCAAGTCTTGGTTCAATTTTCAATTTACACTTTTCACCCACATTCATCAAACCTAATGCAACATCTAATCCTGAGATCACCTAAAAACAATATTGAATCATGAAACAATTTCTTCATTTCTGTGGTTATATCTCACATCAGATTCCCCTAAGTTTAATTTAAAATTATCCGTACTGTCGACTACAGTACCATCTTCAAGTAAACAACAGTAATTAATTATACACTTTTCCGATCGTTGGGGTCTTGTGTCGGGCTTTCCTTCTGTAATTATTTTCTTCATAACAGCCCCACTACCAAGTAAGTCTAGCCATTCATTTTTCTTCTCGGTATGTTCAACCACATTGTCTTCAGATTCAGATGCATCAATTTCTTTTGTTCCGTTTGTTAACAGTATATTTTCTCCTTCATTTTTCTCGATTACCGATTCTGTTAATTTTTGAGTTTCAGTAGCCTGCTCATTTTCATTGAATGTTGAAGTATTGGACATTTTGATCTTGCTAAAAATATGTAGAATATTTCCAAAAGATGAAATTTAAAAACGATAAATCTTACTTAAAATAAATTTGAACTTCTATAAAGAAAAATATTGATTTATGATAAAAACAAGTGAAATTTACGTGTAACCTAAAATTTCCAAAGATTATGACATTTTTCCTTCGATCTAAGGTCAAAGCGTCAAAGCATTGGTTTTATAAGCTAAAAGCTACGTTATATCAAAGTTTCTTTTACCAACATTAGATTTCAAAAGAAAAAGAAAAACTTGCGATGAATGTGGTTCCTTTTAAAAAAAAAAATTATTTTGTAAAAGTTTACTGAAAATTTATTTGACTTTGACATTC